AGGGAGGGATCTTGTGCCCTAAGTGTGTCTAAAACCACCTCCCTGGGCAGCGAGGAGGCAGGAATCAGAGTAACCAGCGATACTCACCACTGACTGTGACGAGCTCTGAAAGGTGAGCAGGGCCGGCAGCATCAGGATCTCCCCACGCCCAAGGTCTCGGGCCTCCAGGGAGGCCGTGTAGCTGACTGAGAAGGAGTCTCCGACTGCTCAGAGAAAAGGCCCATGGGAGTCATGACGGGGCCTCTGCCACACAGCCACCCCCCTGCCACCCTCCAGACAGCCATGCCATCGAAAGGAGGCGGCCATCGAGGCCCACGTGGGCAGCAGGGGGCCTTTCAGATTCCCTCACCCTTAGCGGGAAAGCATGCCCACTCCGGGTACCCTGGGTTTCCCCTTGGGCTGTGAGCAGGTGCCAGGGGCCCCTTTCTGCTCCTGGGCTGTCACACCCGGCACCCCATCCCCACCCAGCATTGCCTGCGACTGGGCAGGTCTGTCTCTGGGCGCAGGATATGTTTAGCTCCCTCTCTTAGGAAATCTAGAACCTTTTTGTTTTGTTCGGAATCCAGGCAGGATCTGTTTATTCCCAGCGATACGGTCTGCACGACTAAGGACAGGAGTCTGCAGGACTTTGGGCCCAGGTGACAGACGATCCTAACTGCTCCTTAGACCCCTCCAGGCAGCGGGGTCTGTGTGCACAGCGAACGGCACCACACCAGGGCCTGGAGGGGGTGGTGAAGGTCACCTGGGGCTCACGAGGGTCTCTAGTTGGCCCTCAACTGCTTAATTACAAAAATTAACTGCTGGCACTGAAGGGAGAGCTTCCCTGGGAGACGGGTTCCAGCTCAGAGCTCGCCTTGGGAAGAAGTCAGCAGGGAAGCTGCCTGCTCTCAGGAGGTGGCTCTGCACCCAGTCACACCCCGAGGTGACCGACCAGGTTCTGGAGACCTGGTGGGCAGAGAGGACCCCAAACAAGACTGAGGGACAGAGCGGCCACCACTGAGAGTCTGTAGTTTTTGCAGGACACCGCAATGTCTCAGCGCCGCTTTTGGAGGTGGAGACGGTGTGGACCGGGGGCCTGCCACCTGGGGCTGCAAATGGACCGAGTCCGCTGTAACTACCAAGGAATCCCTCCCACTGAGCTGGAGTCTCAGGTGGGCTCTGGGCACCTCCCAGAGACTGAAGGCACTTCGTAAACTAACACCAAAAGGAAGGTCTGTGTCCTGCCCCCGTGTGGCAGCTGCCCCTGGGCCTCAGTCACAGTCGGGGGAAATGCTGAGTGCTGGGTTTGGGGACACGGCCGGGCCTGTCCAGGGACTGAGAGGGGACTGTTGTCTGAACTGGGTGATTTCAGGGCTGAGATGGTGATACTCCATTTTTTTTTTTTTTTAAAACAGGTTTGAGATAAAATTTACATACCATCCAATTCACCTATTTTCAGTGTAAAATTCAAGGAAATTCAGTATATTTACAGAGTTGTACAACCATCACCACAATCTAATTTTAGAATATTCCATCACCCTAAAAAAAAGCCTTGTGCCCAACGACAGTCACTCTCACTGCCCCCCCCCCCAATCCCAGCCCTAATCACTAACCTACTATCTTTGGGACAAATCTGCCATTTTTGGACATCTCATAGGAACAGAATCATACAATATGTGTTCTTATGTCTGGTTCTTCCACTGAGCATATATTTTTGGGGGAGCACACACCAGAACTTCACTCGTTTTCACTGCCAAGTAATATTCCATCGTGCAGCTACACTGCTCTTTCTGTATAGGATCCCCTTTTGTGTTCCTGAACTCCATGGACTTTGTAAAAAGCAAGGCACGTGAAGGCATGACACTCAACTAATTCAGCTTCTGAGACAAAGGAGCTGCACCCTCGAAGGCGGAAGGAACCCCACTCCTCCTAAACATCGGTACTGCCTGGGCGAGTCTGGGCAGAATAACATCGGGAAGCTGGTTTAAGGAATTCTAACTTAAGAATTCTGGACTTTGGACTTTTAAAAACTGACAAGGACTAGAATCTTGGTCTCAGATTTTAATTCCTTTTGGACTTGAATATATTTGAATTTCAATTTGTAGGAGACTCATTCCTGAGATTTTCATTTCTCCCTGAGAATTTGCTAAAGGGATGCGTTGGTAGTTTATTGTTGGAGAATTTTATGTGGCTACACTCAGGGCTGTCCTCTAATCACACTGCACACCCGTGATTTACCGTGTTGAACAGCAACAGCTGAGTATGATTAGATGGGTATTAGAATTAGGGAGGATTTCCAGCCTTGGGTTTGGAGTTTATTTCAATAATACAACACTCTGCATCATTTCCAAAGCCTTCACAGGGCAGGAAAAGAAAACTCATCTGTCTACCAGCCCTCCGAGACGGACACCCCAGGGGGCAGTGGACGGGTGGTCTAGGGGAGCAGGGGCATCCTGCATCCTAACCAATGGCCAATCCCCTTCCCAGAGGACCCGCCACCACCCTTCAGATCAATGAGAAGCCCAGTGGGTTTGGAGAACAAACTGACCGAGACCGTCCGGGAAACACACTCACCACCCTGGTGTTTCCATCCCTGGGCGCGGGCGCCCCCCCCGACCAGGCTGCCTCTCCCTGGGGCTGCACCTTGCAGACCAGTCAGCTTGGGTGCGCGTCACCTGTCAACGTCTCACTCGCGAGAGTGGCCTCCAGCAGGAAGCAAGCCGGCTCGGCCCCTGTAGGACTGGGGCGCCACCCCCATGCCACGCGTGACAAAGGTGACTGACTCCGCCGGCCGGTCAGCAGGCCGCGTGGTGCTGCCTCCGTGAGTGACGAAGGTGCCCTGCTGGGCCCCACTGCTCAGTGTACTCTGACCCGTCCAGCACACCCCGAAACAAGCTCTCATTTTACTGAGTGACGGCCATTCTGGTCACGCGGGTGATGGACGTACTGGGATTCACTAGAAACTCTACCTTTGCTTATGTTTGAATTTTTTCATAATAAACACTGAATATGTATAATTTTTTACAAACTCTTTCCCCAAGTCCTGCCTCTCTGTAATTTAAGTAACAAATCCAGCCTGTCAGGTGCAGATACTGAGAGCTGGTCCCCTCCTCTGACGCCCCCGCTGTGAATCCCGTGAGGATGAACTGAGGGAACGCGTGGAACGCGCCTGTGGCCGACCACGTGCTCCGTGAGCGTGTCTGCCGTTTCGGGCCCTGACCTGGTCCACGCTGCCCTCACCTGGCAGAAATGTCTTCCTGAAGGTCTGGAGTCCCACTGAGGTCTTGTTTCCAGTCGAGTCCCTGACAACAAGGCCGGTAATATTGTCAAGCAGAAGCAGATCGGACAGGTTGGCGGCCCCTGGCGTCGGGGTGTTGTTTACCAGCAGGCGCACCTGAGCCGTTGGTGACACGCTTGGCCCCGACTCCTAGGAAGGGGTGAAGTGAGAGCAGATTCAACGACAAGTCCAACCTCCTAAAGTGATGCTCTAGCTCAACTTGCACACATCAGGTCTTCGGGCAGAGAAGATCCGTGTACACATGCATGTGTGTATACGTATGTGTAGGGGCACACACATGTGCACACACATGTGCACACACACTCATACTTGCATGCACATGGCAGAGAACATATTCAGAAGGACCAAGGAGGGCTTTATGGTCTCACAAAGGTTCTGAGAAGTCATCAGGCTGATTTCAAAGGCCCCGGGAGAGCACTGACACAGCCAAGCTATTGCCTGGTGACAGTTTCAAAGCAACTGGGACCCTGAGATGCAGTGAGATCATCCTACAGAGAAAAACGTAGAAAACATCCCAGCACAAAACCAAAGTCAGGCCGGGGAGAGTGCAACAATGGGTGCCACCAGGGAAAGTAAACAATGGTCCTTTCTTGCTCCTTTATTTTGAAGAGTTGGCCCCAGAGCCCTGGGCAGGGCCCCGGACTGCCCCCTGGTCTCCAGCATCCCCCGAGCTGGCCCCCTGGCTGCAGGCCTGTCCTCCCTGCGGGTTCTGCCCCGTCACGTCTGACTGGCTTGGCTGTTAGAACCCGCCTGCTGGCCCAGCTGGGCTCCCCACCTGGCCTCTGCAACCTCGCCCTGCTCCCCTCTTGACGTATCTGCCACCATCCCTACCCATCCTTCACCCAGCACGTCCCGAGAGAAGTGACTCTGGAACATGAGAGCAGAGCAGGCAGCACTCTGGGAGCAGTGCCCCCCCACTTATGTAAGGAGCAGAGGATGGTATGTGTCCCAAACACATGCAGGCGTGCGCGCACGCACACACACACACACACACACACACACTCATGAGAGCATGAACATGCAGAAAACATCCCTAGAAAGACACAGGAGACACAGGAGCACTCACTGTATCCGGGATGGGGAACAGGACACCCGAAGGCCTGGGAGAGGATGACAGCTATGCATGAAGGGTTCCCTCAGCAGGCCTGAGCTGCCCAAACCCTGCACATCCCAAAGGAAGGGCTGGTCCTGGACCAGCTCCTGGGGGACTGACCTCTACAGCCCTGCCTGGTAAGAGTGTCTTCATGTATCTGTGGCCTTGGGCCACACCAAGGAGCTGGTGCTAACAACGTGACTCCTGGTGGGGGCCATGGGCCAAGCTCCATCATGGTGAGCTCTGGAGGGGCTGGAGACTGAGTAACTGGGGGCAGTTACACGGCTGCTCCGTGCCTACGTGACCCACTGGCAATAAAAGTCCTGGACACCAAGGCTCGGGAGCGTCCCTGGTCAACGTCACACACCAGTGTTGGGGAAATTAAACGCTGTCCCCACAATTCCACCAGCAGAGGACAGTGGGCAGCTGTCCTTCGGGAACTCTGTCCCACGCGTGGTTTCCTTTGCTGACTTTCATCTGCGTCCTTCTGCTGTAATGAACTGTAACTGTGAGCACACAGCTTTGCTGAGTTCCGGGAGGCCTCCTAGTGGATCACTGAACCCAAGGATGGGCTTGGGGACCCACCCCAAGGACATGAAAAGCCACCTCCTGGGATTAAAGACCTAAAGGACATTAAATAATCTTTACACTGTCAAGCACCATATCAGTGTGAAAACCTCTCCTAAGTGACCACAGTGGATTTTCACTAAGAATAATTTAATTGTTACCAAAAATCTTAGCCCTGGTGAAGTAATATACGAATCCCTCGTAGGTCAGCTCATCACTCACACGTTCAGACACGGGTAGAGAGCCCTATGACCTGCCAGTTCTTAAATATATAACCTCACTAATACAGGATATAGGCAAAACCCAATTATTGTCCCCTCGAGCCTAAGCCACCTCCTACGGACACTTACCACTGCACACTTCTGAAAAATTACTCCGCTCTCAGAAGCTCCTTGAATGTTTCTTGAAATGTCTCCAGGCTACAAAAAAAATAGAGAAATTATTAGAAAACAAAAAAACATTTCGTGCTACAGATATCTAATAAACATTCCTTCTCCCACGGCTTCTATCTTACTCAGAGTACCAGTCAAGTCCTGACCACTGGCTCTCCTCCACCCGTGGGGCCTTTCCTGACCGGGCCCCCCCACCCTCTGGCCTCACCCTCCCACTCCTCACCCCGGCCCCCCTGCTGGTCCTGGACCACACCAAGCACACCCCGCCCACAGCCTCTGCCTCACTTAATCCCGGTCTGGGAAGCTCTCCTGCGAGGGGCCCTTGCCCTCTCATTCCATCCAGGGCTCTGCTCACCTGCCAGCTCCTCAAAGCGCCTTCCCTGACCACCCATCTGGAGGGTGATCACCGCCATCTCTTTCAGTCCCCATTGCCCACTGAATTCCTCTCTATAGCCTGAACCACCAACTGCTACACCATGGAGTGACACCATTACTTAGTGTCTTTCTCCTGCCCCGAGAATGCAGGTTTCTTGTGAGCAGAGACTGCCCTGTTCTCTTATATCCCCGCACCCCGGCACCCCGAGGGCACTCCGTAAATGCTGGGGATGAATGGCCCACTCGGGAGCCCCTTGTCCACACCGCCCTTCACTGCTTCCCTCCTTCCAACCTCCAACAGAACTTTCCGAGGGGATGGGCCTGTTCAATACTGTGGGCTGTCCAGTACAACAGCCGCTAGCACAGGGGCCTTTGAACACTTGAAATGTTTAAATTTAAACAGCCGCATGTGGCTACTGTACTGGACAGAGCAGTTTCAGACTGTCTGGGAAATGGTGGTAACTGCCTATCAGCTCACCCTTTGCAGGAGGAGATAAGATAGTAAGTTAACAGTGAGCACTTATTTCAGGTTTTCAAGGCACTTTCTTGGGGAGTCTAGCAACAAACTTCTACCAGAATGTTCCCGCACTGGCTTCCAGAGGGAGGAGTAGGGACATGCAGAGCAGGCGAGGTCGGGAGCGGGCTCTGAACTGGGGCCAGAGCACAGGACGCCATGTACTTCCCAGCTCGGGTGGCAGGAGTGGATAAGGGAACCCTGAGAAATGTCCTGTCAGGGTACTTTTTAAAAGCTCGGTAAATTGAAAGAAAGTGTCATTATTTTTGTCTGCTCTGGTAAAAGCCTAAGAACAATAATAGAAAGTGAAGGGGATCTCATTCAAGAAACCTAAGAACCTGCCAGTGTAGCAGGTGCCCCTGGGCCTGCAGACAGAGATGATGCTGGACCAGGGAGCTGGGTCCAGGGAGGGCTGGAGGACCCAGGGTGGTGATGGCCCAGACCCCTGACCAGGCATTCCTGGGAGCAGCAGCCTGGGCTTGCCACTGGCCTGGGGTGTAGGGGGTGCAAGCAAGGGAGGGAAGTGGTCAGATGTATACACCTAGGACAGATCACCTGGAGAGCTGGGAAAAGAATGGTTGAGAGCACAAATGAGGGGACCCAGGGAAAACAGTCACCAAAGGCCAGAGGGGAAGGGGTGGGAACTGAACC